AAGAAAACATACATGAAAGTCGTGATGGACTTAATTTGATCTCTGTATTTTATTAAACACCAAGAGAGTGCCAGATCACTCGCCCTCTTCAAGGAAGCACTCAGACTTTGGAAATGGTGCATCCCTCATAATGTGCTCATCCCAGCTATCTATCTATGAGGATATAGAATGTGACAGCCTGATAGTCTCAATCGAAATTTTTGTCATGACTCCAAATGGGAACTGAACTCAGAGGTGATTTGACATGTATTTACCCTTTGAGGAGCCCTGACTGTAGATCTCTTTGCTACTTACCAGAAAAAAAAATGTCTGTCTTAGTGCCCTTGGCCTGGCCTACAAAAACATTCATTGGGAGGTGCCCTCATCCTCCCATGGCACAGGGACCTTTTCCTAATATGTCTTTTCCCATTTTTGTCTTTTGTCCCATGCCTGGTTGAAAATTCAGCAAGGCAAAGTGAGAGTTATTCTGATTGCTCCTTTTGACCAAGACAGGTCTGAATCCCTTATCTTACACACATGACAATATGCCTTCCTGTTCCTCCTTGGCTGATTCTTCACCTGATCTCTCAAAACAATAGCCTGCTCCTTTACCCCAGCTTACAAGTCCTTCACCTGCTAGTGTGGCTCCTTCTTAGTTCGAAAGATTAGGGGCAGAATGCTCTGATGAGAGAAAAGGTATGTTGCTGCAAGCCAATGTTGACGACTTGAAATAGCTACAAAATGGAAATGATTCCAAGTTAACCTAAACACACAGACTCAATCTGCTCTTTCGTACTCCTGATTTTTACACTGTATTTTAGACCTCAAAAGGTCAGAACTCTCACATTGCAGTGAAAATGTCCTTTCAGGACGCCAGTTAGACACAAAATACAGGACTATGTAGCACTTTAAAGACTAACAAGATGGTTTATTAGATGATGAGCTTTCGTGGGCCAGACCCACTTCCTCAGATCAAATAGTAGAAGAAAATAGTCACAACCATATATACCAAAGGATACAATTTAAAAAAAATGAACACACATGAAAAGGACAAATCACATTACAGAACAGAAGGAGGATGTGGGGGGGGGGGGGGAGGGGGAGGAAGGTGAATGCCAGTGA